AATATCTTATATAAATGTAAAATATATGAAAAAATAAATTAATAATTTAGGTTCCACTCCCATTCAGCCTAGAGCGATTTTTAAAACATTATTATAACAGCACATGTTCAAGAATTGTTAAAAACAGAGTAAAACAAAGTAACTACTTACTGTTTGTTGGTCGGGGAGGGTAAAGAGCTCTCATGGCAACACCATCAATAAGTGGACCACAAGCTGGATCCTCTTCTTCACCTGGATTATGAATCACTATCTCAGCAACCTCACTTTCCGCCTGAAACGCCCAAGCGTATAGATCCCACCCACTGCTACTATACACCGTCTGCACCGGAATAACCCCAGAGTCAGGTGCCACGGAGATGTTGAGCCTCTCGTCTTGAGCGCAAGTCCTCGCGGCGCTGAAAGTGAGAGAGTAATACATTCCTTTCACCACTTTAAGTCTTTGTTTGATGGACGCTTCGTTTCCGAGCCGGACTGCGAACTTTCCTGCGGGGACAACGAGAAGCATGTCTCCTTGTTTGTGTCCTGAGCTTATGTACTCGACGAATCCTGTTACTTCCCAGTTCGGGATTGCCATCTTGTTTATTACTTCGGTTCCTTTCAAGTCTGATGGCTTTGGTCCTAGCTCGAAGTCACCGTTCGGTAACATACCTGTCAATTACCATAATGACCTTTTTTATTAGGGATTTTTTAAATAATTAATTTAGAAAAAGAAAGATATATATAGGCACGTGAGGTGTGTCTGAGAGACAGCCTAACTGGGCCTGTGTATAACATGGCTTAGCTTCCTTTGTGGGTCCATCCAACTTCATTGATTGAAAATGGTCCAAAAACTTTTTAATAGCGGTGTGTTTGTGTCAGAAACAGGGTTAAAATCGTAATTTTCGCATCCGCTTATGGAAATTGTAACTTCGTTTCAGTACTATTGTGTAATAAGTAGAGAAAGAATTCAAGTTTTTTCTTTAAAATGTGTGTTAAGTTTCTTTATAGTAGGAAATCTGAAATGTTATAATTGTGTATGTATAGATTTTAAAGAAAAATTACCGTCACGGAAGGGGACAGCGGCGGAACTGGCGGTGGTAATGAGAAGAAAGACGAGAGACACGACGGTGACGCCTCCCATTGTGAAGGAGCACTGGGAAGAGAGAAAAGAGATAAGTGTTTAGTGTAGAAAGTAATTAACAAAGAGAGTTGGGGTATTTGCTTATAAGGAAGTGGAGATATCAAAGTACCCTTGGAGGTTGCTATATATTACGAGTGTGTGCCACTGACTACTGATGTAGTTCGCCTATCCCACGTGGGGTATGACCTCACTGCTTTTAAGATTTGGAACCTTATTGATATAAAAGTTGTAGTTTAGTCTTTAATGCTATTCTTAATGCTAGTAGTTTTAGTACTGTTTTACAATTATTTAGTCATGTCACGGTGAGGCGGTGACTGGGAAAGACAGACGACCAGAAGCAAAGAACAAAAAAAAAACACTAAACGTGATTATGCGACAATCTCTTATCCACATGCCATTAGCAGTAGCACATGTAAACAGTAAACACTTGACTTACGTCTAAGATTGTGAAAATAATTGATATTTTTTTTAGTAATCTTTACGTTTGAATCTATGTTACATGTCTGATTAATTATGATAAATGTTAGTATAAGGCTAATCTTTTTGTCGTTTTGATTGAATATCGGTGGAGATACTACGAGGAGAATCGTTTATCATGGCGTGGCATGTGTTACACCAAAAGCAAAGTTAAAAGATATTTTTAAGTTTTTTGTCTTCTTTGATTTGTCTTTTCGTGCGTTTTTTCTTACTATTTCTTGTTTCTTGGCTGTATTTTTTTTAAAAAAAATTATAGAAATGAGAAATGTGTAGGCTATGAAGGGCACCATTCACTGGCTAGGAATGCGGTTTCCAAAGTTGGCCAGAGAGGTGGCCTCAGAAATTCAGGATTGCGTCTTATTCTCATGTTTATCAGATCAAGAAAGGGTGTGCCAATTCTATTAGTAAAGGAATGTATTTCTCTTCTCAATGTTATCCAAAATAAAAAAACATAAACCACAACGTATTACTTAGCTTTATTGAATTTCAACTATATGACATTCTGAACTTTTTCAGTTGCTACACAAACTTATATAAATCATATGTAAGTTACTTTTATGGTAAATGCTATTTTAGTTATTAGCCAGCATTGATTAGGAAAGTGAGAGTAAATTCGAACGAACCATGATCACTGTTTGATATACAATGAAGGGACGAGAAACCGTCGGAAACGTGGGTGGGGCCGGTAGGTAACGAACGAGTGGGTCAGGCCCGTATAGAAAGGAAGAAGAGATAGCGAAAAGAGACGCGCAAAAGGGCAGGATCATGCATCTGTTTCCTCCTCCTTGTACACTTCTTTTACTCTTCTCGGGGCCCATTGGCCTCATCACTCCATCCACGCAAAAGCCTAACCATGGATAACCTTTAAGCATTATTAGGTTAATCATAATGTAAAAGACAAAACATTTGAGTTCCATTGTTATGTTCATATGATTAATGCTATATTAGATCAATGAACCTAGAATTGTGTGGTTTCGTACCCCGAGTTAAACAATGTACGTTGCTTTAAATTATTTAAAAAGTATATATATTACTAGACTTTAACGCGTCAGCACGGATCCTCAGGCCTGGAACATCCTAGTTAAAAAAATGATAATTTGATAAAATATATTATTACATTTTGGTGTATTATATTAAGTAAATTAATATTTTTTCAATATTATTAGTATATAATTATTCTTAGTTTATTCATATTCCTAATTTCGTAGATAAGATCTTTTTGATATCTTATTCTGAATATATTTAATAATATATTAAGATTATGTGTTTATTTAATAATAACTAAATTTATTGTATAAAAAATAACATAAATTAAATAAATGTAGTGGTCTAACGTAAACTACTTGTAAGTAGATAAAAACTGCTTATATTTTAATAGTATTGATTAGATTTTGACCCGCACAACCGTGCGGATTTTTTGAATACTAAAATATTTTATGTTATACAATAAAAATTATCAGTATATTAATATAATTTGATGTTATATATTATCTAAATTTATAATAATATCTGTGTGGCTTATAATATTATTATTTTAAAATTTAAAATTTTTTATTTTTAAAAACATTATTATGTAACACTAATAATTATTTTATTTCTAATTTAAAATATATGAGAAAGTGAAATTAAGTTGGACCAACATTATAAAAATTTTTTTTTTAGAATAATGTTAAAAAAAATTTATATATTTTTAATCTGTGTTATAAAGAAATGAATAATTGTTTTAATTATATTTTCTTATTATTAAAATTTTAGTTAACTAATTCGAAAATATATTTGAAAAGATCTTAAAGATCTTACAAAGATATTGTTAGAATTTTTATAATTCTTTTTTTGTATTTCACATAAAAATAAATATATGAAAGATATTATAATAATGTTATAGAAAATCTAATAAATTTTCTAAGGATGGTCCATTTTTAAAAATATCATACATGAATCAAAGTTGTGACTTCTATTTTAGTATATAAGATTAGTTACCAAGAAGTTTTGGAACTTGAAACTAGTTTACAAAAATAAAAAGAAGTTTTGGACCAAGAAAAAATAAATCAAGAAGTTTTGGAATAAACTCATAGTCTCTCGATTTTCGAGATTACCATGTAATATTATTTTTGTCTTAAACTTCACTAACTCATGTTATTTATAAGCTTTGTTTATACTCTTTATGTTTCATAAAGAATGTCACTAGCTTTTTTATTTTGTTTTAAAATAAATGTTACTTTTATTTCCAATGCACATTTTTACACTAAATCTTTCACTTACCCTTTTAAATAACTAATATTTCCTCCGTTTCAAAATGTTTTATGTTTTAACATTTTCACACTTAGTAAAAAAGCACATCAAATTTTTCTTATCACTACATTACTTTCCGTAATTAATTATTCCCTATAACTTTTAACCAATAGAATTATAATAAACACAATTATGGTTTTTGAAGTTTACAATTTACCATTAATAAATATACTGAAAATGTAAAAAATGTATTATTTTGAAACGTAGGGAGTAGATGTTTAGTTAAAAAAAATTATTTAAATAATTTTATAATAAAGAAAGATAGATTAATAAATTTTATGATTTTCTTAATATGTATGAAATATGTTTAAGTGACACTTATTGTCAAATAAAGGAAATAATATTTTTTTCTGGTTAACGTATACTTGATAATTTAGTTCAGAATCTGTTTTCTTTTTTTTTTTTTTTTTTTTTTTTTTTTTGCAGAAGAGTTATTTAACATCCTATCTTTGAATTTGTTATTGTCTTAGTCCTGTCTATCTTTGATTAGTCAAGTGAAATATTTGATTTTAGACTTCTAAAAATTTAAATGCTAATATATATGAAAAATGATTATGATAAAGGGAAAATTTGGAAAAATATACTCATATTAGATTTTAATTTAATTACACCACTATTTAAGTTTTTTGAAAACATACTTTCGTATATAAATTTTACTATATTATCCAATCTGAATATTTAGTATTATTATCAATTTTATTAACAAAAATTTATTTAATATTCAAATATACAGTTTTAACAAGAATATAAGATTGTTTTTAAAATAAAGAACTCTTTATAATATATACACAATATCTTAACTTAAAATATTTTGAAGGAAAAAAGAAGACCTATTATTGGGTTCACCTCCTAGGGTGAACCTACCTTTAGGTTCACCAACCAATATGATTGCATTATTATATATTTGATATCTTTTAAAAAGAAAACGAAATATTATCAAACTATATTATATTTTAAAAATAAAAATATAAAAATAAATAAAAATAGCAATAGTTGTAAGTTTTTTTTTAAAAAAAACATTTAACGCAATTAGTAAAACACTAAACCTTAAAACATTGGATAAATCCTAAGCCCTCGGATAAATCTTAAACCCTAAATCAAAAACACTAAACACTAAATCTTAAAAAAACACTAAATGCTTAATACTAGCCCCTAAACCATTGGATAAATTATAAAACCTAGGATTTATGGTTTATATAGTTTAATGTTTAGTATTTTTCTGACGGTGTTACAAAATATTTTAAATTTTATTTATTTTATCAAAGGGTTTAGGGGTTAAGATTAAGGGTTTAGTGTTTTTAAAATTAGTGTTTAGTTATTTTGATTTAGTGTTTAAGATTTATTCGGTGGTTTATGATTTATATAAGGGTTTATGGTTTATCTAAGGATTTAAGGTTTATGATTTAAAGTTTAAGGTTTGGGGTTTAGTGTTTTACTGACAGCGTTAAAAATGTTAAAAACTAAAATTATTTTTTTGCAACTATTATTATTTTTATTTATTTTTATCTTTTTATTTTTAAAATATAATAAAATTTGATTATATTTTATTTTTCTTTTTAAAAATATTAAATTTATAATAACACAATCTTATCGGTTAGGTACACCTTACGAAGTGAATCCAAGAATAACTCAGAAAAGAAAAGAAGCAAGATGTGCCTTGTCTTCTTCCATTATTTTTTTCCCTCCATTTTTGCTGAGCATTTTTTTCTATAGTCTCATAATTTGTTCTTCCTCTAATTCATAATTTTGTTAATTATTCACTTATGTAAGTAAGTCTAATTCAATTTAGTAAATTCTCATTTTTCTTCAAACTCGATCATACAGAGATGAAAATAACCTCAAGCAACAGTATTTTGTTTTTTTTGATTCACACTGTTATTATGTGTTTGTACATCTTATGTGTATCTAAACAACATAAATAAAAGAATTTTTGTAAATGATAAAAATCAAGCGATTGCTTTGATTTCCCAATAGCGTCATAAATCATACAATTACGTCATTGTTGTTGCGTGGCTTCCTTATAACAAGAATTTAGATATAGCAAAACAATTTGGGTTTTGTTAAACTAAAGAACTGGATTTTATGTTTTGCTCTGTTTTGGGGTTTTTGGTTAGCGTTTGTTGGCTCTCTTGAACTTTTGGCTTGGTGGCCTTGACTAGTGCATTATTAGATATTAGGTATGGACCCTTGGATGAATAGGTTTTGATTGAACTTATTTTTATTGAACAAAA